CCCCCCCTTTTTTTCCAGGCGTAAGATGATATCTTTGAACGTCCCCTTTTGGGGTTTTCTGGGTGAATCGATCCTTGTCTAGATCTAGCCTCCTGGCATAAGATTAAAAGCCTTTCACAAATTTTTATACTAGATCTATCTACCTGGTGCTACGGAATCAAGCAAGCTAAACAATTAATCAGACGACAGTGTTTACAATTGATTTACTGAGACTCCAGATTTACATCTAGAAGCTAGACTAGAAGATGATTCAGTCCAAACAAGACTATTGGGTCCGTTTGCTCGCCAGACTTATGGTGCAAAGCGGCTATCGTGGCACAAGTCGATCGCGCCTGACTCGTTGTTTCAAAACAAACACGTTGTTTTCAGGCGACGAGTCGGGCGATCATCCTGACCCGACCTGACCCAGTACGGGTCACTGGGCGGCGGCGCGGCGGGCACCCCGTTGTGCAAAGGAGCGAATCGTCCCCCATGGCGTCGTTATTCTTAGTCGAGGAAGAAAATTTCGGTGTCTTTAATGACATTTTGTTATTATTTTCCCAAATTTTGCGGGAAATTGGCTAAAATTCGCGAATTCACGAAAATGGTATAAGTTGCGCGAAAGTTGCGCTGACAGCAAAAGTTGCGCACGCAACTTGCGGGTTGCGGGCGCGAATTTCTCTGAGGACAGATTACAGTTTATGTCTACTGACGTTTTTACATTTATTCCAACTCAAATCATTTATTGTCGAGCTTTCGGAAAATAATACACTCATCATACTCACTCATACACAAACGCCACTTCAGTCGGCCAACCAAGCAGTCAACGAATCGCACGTATACGTCAAATACATGTGTACATTGTTTTACAAACATGTATGATTAAGTCTGGAATTTGAATTCTGAAACCGAAACCATAATCATATTTGAAGAAAAAGGCAGCTTTGGATACTGTTTTCTACGAATGCAGGCCTTACCGGGTGGTATCGGACAATGTGACGGCTCTGTCGGCAGCAGTTTCAAAATAACCACTTGAAAAACGAAGAAAAAAAAAATAGCCTACCTTACAGTACACACATCATATAGCCCCGATTCTCCTTTTTTTTGTTTTGGTTCTTACTTTTTTCTTCCTATTTTCTAGGAGTACGTTTAGCCTACCTTGTATACGTTTATATGCGCACGTACACATGGCTTGTTACTTTGTTGGCACGTAGTGTTGTTAGACTTGGGCTCGTCTGTGATGTTTTCGGGCTTGGCTTTTTCAGAGCGCCCGTTCTTGCAGCTGGTCTCTTCTCACTTTCCTGATTATGAAACAGTTAGATCTAGTCGTTCCCAAAGTTTCACGCTTGTATATTATACATGTGTCACATTCTGAATCACGTTGTCCCCATCCCCTCTTATTGCCAATCCTTCTTCTTCTTCTCCTCTCTCTCCTCGCTTTATCTCCATCTCTCTCTCCCCTTTCTTCCCCCCTCTCTCCCTCTCTTTTTTTTCTCTTCCCTCTCCCCCACTCTCCCCCTCCCTATAGTGTCTTTCTCCCTCTCTTTCCCCTGTTTATCC